AGAGAGAGCAAGCGAGAGAGAGAGAGAGACTCACCGCTGCTGCTGCTGCTGCAAATACACAGACAGGAGATCCTGACTAAACAGCTGGACTCTTTAAGCAGCTGCTTTTTCTCAGCTAGATTCTGAGCGGAGACGTCTGTTTGTTTGCAGAGGATGAGGTGGTGATTTACTCCTGGATGTTTCTCCGGTCCGTTTAAAATCCAGCAGGACAGAGTGAAGCTGTCAGGTAAGTTGCCAACTCCAAATTTAGTTTAAAATAGTTAAGCCAAATGAGACCAAAATAGAAAAAAAAAAATTTTCTGCCTGTATTGATCAGTATAAGATTACTTTATCATGAATAGGAATAATAATGTATGCAAAAGTGTTTCTATGGTATTCCTAAGGGGAGCTGGGCATTTATTGTTGTAATTGTTAATTAATATATCAGTTAATCAGATACTTTTAACATTAACATTAACATTAACAAATTAATTAAGTTTGCCATTTAGAATCTACTTTATCGTGTAAAATATCGAATAAAGAACAAAAATAGAAGGTAGATGCTTTAAAGGAAATTTAAACTCAATTAGCTGAAATTTATGAGAGTTTATCTCCGAATTATGCCCCCATTTAATAACATCTACACCTGTAATATCCTTTTTTATTTCCTGCATCCTTATCTCTGCTACACCCACGTTAATATCCCTGTAATTTCCAAAAGGGCACCGCAGTTTCTGAAACATTAGCTTATCGTATGAACATCATTCAGAAGCCATTACACAGCAGCTTGTTTGAGACTCACAGTCTTGATCAAAAAGCTGCTTATCACTCAGTCTGCACCTTGTCATCGGCCTGAATACAGTGCATCCTGTAGAGGGTTTTAATTTGCATCCCGACCTTCGATGCTCTCACATACATCACTGCTAACCTTATAGACTACAGGCAACTTCTTATTTAATCACAAATCACTGTTTTTCAAAGTTCATCTGATGCATATTGATGAGCCCACACCTTGTTTAATGACTTGTCGTTTTCTCGCGGGGACAGATTTTGAGTTGAGGGACCCATGCTATAGAAAACCTTGTATTATTATGATAATCTTGAACTTTACCGACTTCCCCCTCCAAGGAGGAAGGAGTCGGAGAAGAGGGGGAGGATTTTATTTATTTATTTACTTTTCCTGGAAAGAGGCTGTGAGATGAAGGGGCCGCGATATCTTTTTCACCCTTTGTTTCACTGTCATCTTTTTTTTCTCACAGGTTTCTTGCAGCCGGGCGGAGAAGAGGTGTCCCTCCCACCATGGACTACATTTCCCACCGTGTACTGTCTCTGGGTTACATCATCCATACCTCACTGTGAAATTTCATTTAGCAAGTATGCAAACTTTCAAACGTTTGCCTTCTTTTGAGATGGATCAGTTAACTGTCGGAATAAACGATGTTCAAGCGAATGTTGAGAATGAAACTGTAGCCACATCCTTTGCTTGAATGTATTTCATGCCTCTAAAGCAACACACCCTCATACCAGCAGCACTGATTTCAGTCCTAACGCTGGCTAATGGGGGCCTCTCAAAGGTGCAGGTCATCCATAAACCCTTCTTCTTTTAGTTCTCTTTTCTTTGTGGGAACACTTCTCTTCTCTTTGATGATGACCGCCTATGCCTGCCCTAAGCTCTGCCACTGCACAGAGAGGAACGGCATGGTGGTGCAGTGCACTTCGCGCAACCTGGAAAGCATCCCGCCGAACTTACCCAAGGACACTGTGGTTCTCCTGCTCTCGTCGAACCAGATCCGACACGTCCCGAAAGGAGCCTTCGCTGACCTTCACCGCCTCAGGGAGCTGGATCTATCTCACAACGTCTTGGAGAGCGTGGAGGTCGATGCCTTTCAGGGGGTTTCCGAAGCCCTGCGGACCTTGGATCTTTCAAACAACCATCTGAGCGGCCTCCCCAGGGACACCTTCACCAAGCTGCACGCCCGAATCCGCCTCTCCCAGAACCCCTGGCACTGCGAGTGCTCGCTGCAGGAGACACTGAGGGAGCTGAGGCTCGACCCTGAGACGGTGAACGAGGTCAGCTGTTTCACGTCAGAGCAGGAGGAGTACGTGGGACAGCCGGTGATCCAGGTCCTGGACTCGGGGATCAACTTTTGCAACTTCCACCACAAGACGACTGACGTAGCCATGTTTGTGGCCATGTTCTGCTGGTTCTCCATGGTGACAGCTTACATCATTTACTACATCAAACACAATCAGGAGGACGCCAGAAGGCACATGGAGTACCTCAAATCACTGCCCAGCACTTCTCACATGAGCAAGGACTACGACACAGTGAGCAGCGTGTTTTAGGACGAATATGGATCAAAGTGCAGCGATGAATACAAATGACAGAGAGGCGATGAATATGTTTACAGCGAGCAATACTGAGAAGTGACAGGCGTGAAGGCACAAAGATTTAAGGAGGAGGTTTTAAAATGTTGCTGTCATCATCAAGTGCAGGCTTTAAACAAAAAGAAAGACACAGCTCAGACTCAGATATTTTACTTCTTTAATAACAAAAGATGTCAGATCCTTATTTCTCACTCCAGTGTATTTAACACACCTCAAAAGTTTGCATATCACACCAAGTTATAGAAGTTCAGCTACCAGCTGAGGAGAACCTGAGAGCCACTTGAGTGTGAAATAGAAATGAGCTCCTCGACAAATAATTCCCATGGCTTCACAGAAAAATATCCAAGTTTGATTTTGTTTAATGCATTTAAAAAAAAAGAAGAAGCAGGGGGACCTTTAGGGGCAACAGCAGAGAAATTAGCTGTAGTAGCTGTTAATCTCTGTTAAAACTGATATATGTTTCCCTCCTAATGTTAAGATGATGTATGCTTAATGATGCAATGCATAAAGGATATAGGTGTTGTAGAGAGGATTTGATGGCTGTAGGAACCCCTGTGACACCCCTGCACTGTCAATTTAAGGTGGCTTGGCAGCCCAGAATTACATTTCACACTTGAGCCCTCGTTTTGCTTCAAATGTTGATGAGTTTGTAACTTTTGGAAGAAGAAATATGATAAATTCCTGCCACAAAAACAAAGTTCAGTTTGAGAACTGAACTGATCGTCTCTTTCTCTATTTTTGCTTAACTAAACTACACACACGAAATGTTTCATCAAATTTCAGATTCTGGAAAGTATAGTCGGCCACAACTAATTTGGCTCAAGGATTCTTCCGGCTAAAAGGGAGATTTTCCTCCCCGCTATCGCCAAGTGCTTGCTCACATGGGTCACTGGATTGTTGTGGCTTTCTCTGTATTATTATAGGTTCTTAACCTTACAATATAAAGCGCCTTGAGGCGAGCGTTGTCATAATTTGGTGCTATATAATAGGGACATTGGCTTTGTATGACATCTTTCAGAGTAACAAGTAGAAAAAACAGTCCAAAATTGAGTATTTAGAGCAGTCTGAAGTCTGAGCATTTTGTACATAAGGATTCCTTGATTGTATTCTGAGTGATTTACTTGAAATTTTAACCATGTTTATTATGAGCATTTACAAGTGTAACAGTGTATATTGCTGGATATAAGTGAAAGAATAACAGGTCCCCTTTAAACAAACTCAATATCGACATGATTTAATCTGTTGTCAACATGTAGGCTCATTGAATCTGCACTTCCCCTGCACGGTGGGTGCATGATTGTTGTTTTTTAATTTCCTCAGTCTCTTCCTGCTGCGCCTGACATCTGAAAGCAGCTTAACCAAAGTGGACCCCACCCACAGGTTTTTACACTTCCAACTACTTGACTGTGGAATTCACACCAATTAGGAGCGGCTTGACTTGTAGCACTCGCAGAAAAAGAAGTGGTGACAAATAAGGCAATAACCTGAAAACATGTGTTTTTGTTTGTTTTCATCTATTAATTTGGATTGCATCACACAAATTTCATGCCTGTTGACACACACACTGGTTTTTACTGGAATAATTGTTTTATTTAGACTTAACATAAAACCATATTTTTCAATATATGACCTTTTTTGTGTACAAGTTGATGCTCATTAAAAATAGTTGGACAGAAATCAACCAGAAAATATGGCCATAGCTGTGATCTCATCCGTTATGTGTGTATTGTTCTATTCATTTATTTATTTATTTTAAGTAACGAGTAATAATCAAAGGGTAGATCGTAACTGAGAGACACTGTGCACTGACAGGGTAGCAATTTGTAGGTAGTCACACCTGAAAGTATTCCCTACTCAGTTTCAAGGGAGTTGTTGAAAGCTCTCCGCCAATCTGCTCAAACAATCTGCAGGCATAACACATTCCTCACAGTGAGATCCTGTTATCTGTTCGTACAGATTTTACGATGAAAAATACCCCTGGCTCCAAATATGGAAGTCATATATCTTCAGCTGCATAGATCTAGATGGAGCTGAATATTAATACGTCTTAAAACCCAGAAATAGTTTCATCCTACTAACGGCTCAAGTTCATAAATCTAGCGAGCCATTGTGGAGGGTGCTTCAGTATCCACAGTGTAGTGATCCATTTATCCGCTACATAGTCGTTTATGCGATTCATGTGGTTTCTATCAAACTGTGCAAAAGTCTTGAGCCACCCTCTTAATACATCTTCATATTTTGGAAGGAAAATGGAAAATGGGTGTAACAGTTTATTGGCCAGCAAAAACAGAGTATCAACTATCCTAATGAGCCTGAAAGTCAAAATTTGGTGTGACCACTTTTATTCTTTAGCACAGTCTGATCTGTCTTAGGCAGCTTTCTTATAATTTCTTTAAGGAATTGTAGCGGGGCGTGGTCGGTGGTGCCAGGGCAGGGAAGGCGGATGCACTTGCGGAGCATCTGCAATCACGCCTCTCTGGGTTAAAACACTGAACGGGGTCCTATCATGTCGTTGTTGTGGTTGGTGATGTGTGCGGTTGGCAGTGGGAGAGCTGTGGCTGTTCGTGTGTTTATAAGCAACTGTGTTCATAAAGAGATGCTTAAAAGCATAAATATGTCATCGGGTCTGCCGTGGTTCATTACAGTAGTCTTCAGAAATAGTTCTCCAGGCTTCTTGAAGGACATTTAAAGCTCTTCTTGGATGTTTCTGCCTTTTGTTCTGTTCTCTGTCAACATGATCCTACATTGCTTCAATAATGTTGAGGTCCGGGCCCTGGGGAGGCCAATCCATGACTGATAGTGCTCCACTGTGTGTTTTTCTATCCAGTTATGACTTCTCTGTACATACTGACGATGATTTAGATTCATCAGTCCATCAGCCCCGTTATCACTGATTTTCACTCTAGTTCTTGTGTAATTTTCATACATCAGGCTTTTCTCCCTGTTTCCTTTCCTTAAGAAGAGTTTCTTGCCAGCCACCTTTCCACTGAAACCATTTTTCAGTGTTAAGGTGAAATCTTTTTTGATGCTTAAATGATTCATACGTCAGTGTTAATTGCCTTAACAAACATTAACATTCCTTTGAAAATGATCAGGCACAAGGACTGGACTGAAAGTGAGTGAAAAAACAGCCAATGTCCAAAGAAATGGTTTCAAAGACCTTCAGAAATTCTGGAGAACTATTGCTCAAGAAGAAAATCTGGCTGCTTGGAAGCGAAATAGAAAGAAACGAGGGTGGCTCAAGACTTTTGTACCATATCCAGCCCCTAGAAAAGTGCATTTAACTTTCTTTTTTTTTGCTTAATATCTATCGCTGACCTTGTAGTCTCTAAACCTCGACCTATCCCTTCTGTCACACAGTCAAGACTTTAATTACGATCCACATTACTTTGTCTTACAAGTCCCGAGGGCTGCTGTGTACATCATATTGAAGCGAATATTATTAATTATCTGGATACAGCTGAGGTCAGTGTGTCTCGCTAACTTTAAGAGCTGTGTAAGCGCTTTAGCCAAATGGAGAGAAATGCTCAGTACCGCAGCAGAAAACAGCTTTTGTCGACATCTGAGAGGCGCACTGTGTCGATTAATAGCTTTCTTTGTTTGTTAAATACTAAAAACATCACCTCAGACAGGAGAAAGTCAATAAAATTATCTGTTTGTCTTCTCTCTGCTGTTTCTTCTTTGCCAGCACTCAATTTTTAGACCTTTGCTGTTTAAGTCTGTTATCAGTAGAATCTAAACAAGCCTCCAGTGAACTGAAATATGTAGATTTTTCTCCACAAAATAAGAAAATAAGACTAAATAAAAAGTCCCCTTATAATGAAGTCTTCATCAGTTGACTGTCACACTTCCATTTCTTTGACACTATGTCTTACAAAGTAATTTTAGCTGTTTTTAAGCAATTTTGGAAGGAAAAATTTAGGGATTAAAGAGTGCCTTTTGTGCCGTTGCAGAAGTTCGTATAAAATTTAAGGAGGCAAACTTAAATTTTAAGTTTAAACTGCCCCTGCAAAGTGATTTTTACTCCTTTTTTTCCAATGATTTTTAGGTGTGTGGGGATTTTTGAGGGGAAATGGAAAATGACAGCTTTGAATCTATTTTCCTTCTGGTTCATTTAGACAGTTTGCATCAAAACAATCAAAAAATCAAAGACACTCATTGTACTTTCAAATGTTAACAACCTGAAAATCAAAGTGCAATACTCTTTTGTTATTCTCACAAGCATCAAACACTCCCTGCACATACAGTCCTGTGAAATAAGTTTTTATGAGTTTTTATGCAACTTTATAAGTGGAGGAATTTTGTCTCATTCTTCAGTTCACTGAGGTTTGTGGGCTTTCATTTATGTACAGCTCTGATTCATTGCTTTTCACTCATTTGCTGCTGTGCTTGGGGTCAGTTTCAGACAAGCTTTAGCTGTGAAACAGATATCCACACATTTGACTATGGACAACTTTGGTATACAGAGGAGTTCATGGTCAAATCCATCACTGCCAGGTGTCCAGGGCCTCTTTCTCCAAAACAAGCTCAAAGACCCCTTCACCAGAGTGCTGCCAGCTGATATGAGGTGTTTGGTTTTGTGCATTATACCAAACATCTCCACTTTGGTCTCATCTGTCCATAAGACATTGTTCCAGTCTTGTGGTTTCTTCAGATGCGCTTTTTAGAGAGAAGAGGCTTTCCCTGGCCTTTAGAGTCTTAGATGGAGCTCTTGGTTTTATGTAGTTACATTTTTAATGATAAAACCTGCCTACATGAAACACAATTAATATTTATACATATACTTACTA